ATGAGTAAACAACGACACAGCCGCGGGCTATGTGCGCGACTCCCCTTAAATAGTTGAAATTCGCTACTTATCGAGACAAGTATGCTCCTCATCTGACCCACGACCGACACCTCAGCTGAGGTAAGTCAACATCGCAGCGATCGTGACGAGGTCACGTGTGCGACCGCTTTCACTCGAGCAGACACTTTTCTTACAAAGCGAAGGCACTACATAAAAGACGTCTACTGCAACAGTCGAGGCTCGAAAAGCTCGGTCTAGACGACTGCCGCTGGTTGAGGTAACTGGTAAATTTCACCATTCAATGCTACATCATTTTATAGTTTCCTCGTTGTGTGTTCTTCGATGAAAGCCGTCGAAGAAGGTTGCAGCCACTGTTTGCTCCACTGTGGCAAAGAAATTTGCAGGAACATCTCTAGCGATGGTCACGCGACAAAATGAGGATCGAGTCGAATGGTTACCTCGGCTGGGTGACCCACCTTCCACAAACCTCCTTACCGGGTCTGAGCCAGTTGCTGGTCCGAGTCGTCGCCGGGTCCAATCACAGACGTCAATGCGCTGCATCGTGTCGTGCAGTCAACGCCCAACTTAATTGACTTGATACCCGTTGCGAGATCCATCAATATTTCTCAATAAAGGCAATTCATCGCCGATTGCGGCCTTGAATCCGTACATCAAATTTTCTCCGCCTCCTTAAACATTATAACTTTGTGTGTGCGTGTGTGACCTTATTTTTCGAGCCGCGTTCTTCGTCCGGTCATTCGTCGAGCGCTGCTCACCGGTCCGCCTTCGGAGGCCTCCGTCAGCGCAAGTCGGTCATGTGACCGTTCGCCCATCGGACGAAGTGCACAAGCGCGCGCTCTTCGAATCACAACGCGCCCTCAACCGGAGGGAGGGAGTGAAGTGACGGGCGATGGGCAACGGAGCGGGATGCATCGGAATCGGAACGTCCAACCGACCGATTCACCGGTCACCGAACTCAGCGGGAGCATTTGGGCAACAGCTGGGTCCACGAATGGCTGTCGTCGTCGTCGCCCTCCGCCTAAGCCGGGCGTCCGTCACATCGAGTGTCCAAGTGAGAGGGAAGGGACAAAAGCGATTGGTTTTCACCCTCAACTTCACCGCGTGATGTGAGATGGCAGGCTCGCCACCGCACCAGTCGTCGCATACGCTGCAAACAAAACGACCGAACGGATGTCGTTGTCTTAGAGTTGCCATCGTTGTGTTCGTCTTCGCGGTCGTTTGCGTTTGTGTCAGATTTTGCCTCGTTACTCCGATCAACTGTGTTGTCATTGGCTTCGCATTGCTCTCTTCGTCTGTCTCTGCCTGACTGAACCATCTGTCCGTCCGTCTTGATGCTGCTGTCCCAAGTCTCGGCTCGGTA